TGGTGCTACAGATGCTGTGCACTCTGCGTGGTGCAATCTATATGGTGCAATCGATCACTTGCTCAAATTGAGGTTGTCCACTCCACTGCTCGGGCGAACATCCCACCCACCCACCCGCAACTTGGTTTGCAAACCTCATGCGGAAGCGATTGCGATGGGTGCTCGGTGTTGGCTGGTGCATCTTTGCGGCCGCGCTAGCCCGCACATGCTCGCGCGCGCAGCGGCCAGCTAGTTTGGCGCGACCGACGCGAACGCGGTGGCGCTGACCGCTCGGCACATTCCAGCGGGCACTTCTGTTCGTAGCGATGCTGGCGACGATGCTGACAGCAACGACGGGACAGCCAGTGACGGCGCCGATGATGATTACGCCGACGACGATGACGGCGTCTTCGCGTCGGTGATGAAGGTTTTGGACGGAGTTCGACATGCGCGCGGCAGACGCGCGAAAATAGCCCGCATGGCATTATTTGACAGGGATCGTGCCACCCCAGCACGCGCGCAAGGGCGTCCGAACTACCTGATCCTGTGGGGCGCGTGCGACCTCCCAGGTATGGCAGTCTACAGGCCCTGGCCGGCGCACCCTTTCCTCCTCGGGGGTGGCCCGCCGCGAGCGGTGGGTCGCGCCCGGGTTGGGGGGGCTGCACCGGCTCCCTCGGGGATGGACAGAACCCCCTTTAGCAAAACGTGGTTTAGCGAAAACGCCCTCGGGCCCAAACCTGGCGGGCGCAAGCCTGGAAAATAACGGCCACGGCGCCCTCTCGAGAACCGAAAACGGACAATTCACTAATCGACGTGTCACTATTGGGGGTTCTGTCCATCCCCGACTCCCGACCAAGGAGCGCCCGCGGGAACCGGACCCGCGCCGCGCTCGACGGAAGAGGGCGTGGGAGGAGTGGGAGAGGAGGAGGCTGGGGGGGGGGGGGAAGGGGTGGAGGGGAGGAGGAGGAGGAGGAAAGGAGGATGAAAGGAGGAGGAAATGGGAGGAGGGGGAGGATGAGGAGAAGGGCGGAGGGAGCGGGGAGGGGAGGGGGAGGAGGAAGGGGAGGCGGGCGAGGCGACAGAGGGGAAGGAGGGGGGAGGAGGGGGCGGGAGCGGGTGAAGAGCGGCGGGGCGCCGGGGATCGCCTGCGGTCTGCAGCGTGCTGCCCTTCGTCATGGAGCCGCTCCTGAAAGGGGGAGGGGGAGCGGACGGTCCAGCCGAACACCCAGATTTTCACACAGGCGACTGCGTCAAGTCATTCGCCAATCGTGATGCGTCATGAGGGCCGCATCTGCACGCAAAAGCGGAGCCCGTGGGCGAACCGATCCGAACTCCAGATGAGCAGTGAAAGAACCCCGTTGGGCGGAAATGCGTTCCAGCGGAAGGACCTGCACGCGGAGCCAAGGGCGAGCGAGACGACCCGTGATCAACAAGAGCGGCGGACGAACCGATCCAAAAGAATGGAAAGCCAAGGGATGGGATCCGCGAGTGGCACGCACGGCGAATGACTCTATCCGAGATTGCACAACGAGTCGCGAGCAGGTGCTGACCTCATCTCTGCAGCTTGTGATGCTGGCCGTGATGTGCGCTTTCCCCGCCTCCCCGAGCAGTCGCAGCGCCTGCTGGGCGTCCGGCGCTTCTCGCAAGAGGCTGGCCGACCAAGCGAGCGGACGAGCCTCGCGTCAAACGGCGTGCGGGCAAGGTGAGACAGAGCACCGCGAAGTCGAATCGCGGCGCTACCAGTTGTCGCCGCTGGCGGCGCGCACAAGGCGGGTAGTGGGAGGGGGGTAACCTCCTTAGAAGGAGGCTGCTTCTCAGAAGGCGCCGGACCTACATTTACCTATACGACCACCCTTCGGGTGATAAGGAGGTTGTGGCGAGGGGGGCGAGGGGGGGAACCAACATCTGACTCAATCGATCTCACCATCGATCTCACTCAACGGGACACCGGGACAGCACGGGACACTTGTCGATCTCACTATCGATCTCACTATCGATCTCACTCAACGGGACACCACGGGCCACCACGGGCCACCACGGGACACCACGAGACTCCGCGGGGCTCCTCTCGATCTCACTATCGGTCCCACTATCGATCAAACTCAAAGGGACACCATTGGACACCACGGGACACCACGGGAGACCGGGGGACACCACATCGATCTCACTATCGATCTCACTATCGATCTCACTCAACGGGACACCACGGGACACCACGGGACACCTGTCGATCTCACTATCGATTTCACTTTTTGGGGCACCACGGGACACCACAGAACACATCGGGGCACCACATCGATCTCAGTATCGATCTCACTATCGATCTCACTATCGATCTCACTCAACGGGACACCAAGGGACACCTGTCGATCTCACTATCGATCTCACTTTTTGGGACACCACGGAACACCTCGGGGCACCACATCGATCTCAGTATCGATCTCACTATCGATCTCACTCAACGGGACACCACGGGACACCAAGGGACACCACGGGACACCTGTCGATCACACGATCGGTCTCACTATCGATCTCACTTTTTGAACACCACGGGACACCACATCGATCTCAGTATCAATCTTAGTCGGAGGTTGGGGGGTGAGTCCGACGTGAAACGGAGACCCCACCCCACCGGGAATTCGATTTCGGTTTCGGGTCCGTGTCGTGCGTGCCGTGCGTGCTTGCGTGCGGGCGGGCGAGGCGAAGCTGCGTGGGCGGGCGAGAGGAAATTCTCCTGTGGCTGGGCCGCGGCCGGACCAAAAGTCCCTCCACCGGCAAACGGTGGCCCGCGGTGTCCCGCTAGTGTCCCGCTGGTGTCCCGAAATCCTCCTGTGGCTGGGCCGCGGCCGGAACAAAAGTCTCTCCATCGGCAAGCGGTGGCCCGCGGTGTCCCGCTGGTGTCCCATCCAATGCAAGTCTACGTGCAAACCGACATGCAAACCGAAAAGCACATCGAAATGCAAATCGACATGCACATCCAAATGCAATTCGTAAGGCGCCATGGGTTGCGTATTCACGGCACGACAATGTCGAGTGCGCTTCACGACACGACACGACAATGTCGAATGACAAGGTTGATAAGCGCACGCGGGGGCAGCGCTTCACGACAATGTCGAGTGCGCTTCGTCAACATCACCACATCACATCACGCTCACGATCACAATCACACTACTCACTAGACTGCGCACCACAGGTATGATCAGAACAGTCACCACTGTTGCCCATTGCTGGTCCCCCACCCAACTTCCTTATCACCCGCAGGGTGGTCGTATAGGTATCGATCTCACTATCGATCTCATTGTCGATCTCACTATCGATCTCACACAACGGGACACCGCAGGACACCACGGGACACCGCGGGACACCGCGAGCCACCGCAGGACGGGCGGGCGAATGAGAATCGTTTGTCTTGACTTCGCCCTAGCAAAGGCGGACACCACGGGACACCACGGGACACCACGGGACACCACGGATCACCGCGGGACACCGCGAGCCACCGCCGGACGGGCGGGCGAAGGAGAATCATTTGTCTTGACTTCGCCCTAGAAAAGGCGGACACCACGGGACACCACGGGACACCACGGGACACCACGGGACACCGCGGGACACCGCGAGCCACCGCCAGACGGGCGGGCGAAGGAGAATCGTTTGTCTAGACTGCGCCCTAGCAAAGGCGGACACCACGTGACACCACGGGACACCACGGGACACCACGGGACACCGCGGGACACCGCGAGCCACCGCCGGACGGGCGGGCGAAGGAGAATCATTTGTCTTGACTTCGCCCTAGCATAGGCGGACACCACGGGACACCACGGGACACCACGGGACACCGCGGGACACCGCGAGCCACCGCCGGACGGGCGGGCGAAGGAGAATCATTTGTCTTGACTGCGCCCTAGCATAGGCGGACACCACGGGACACCACGGGACACCACGGGACACCGCGGGACACCGCGAGCCACCGCCGGACGGGCGGGCGAAGGAGAATCATTTGTCTTGACTGCGCCCTAGCATAGGCGGACACCACGGGACACCACGGGACACCACGGGACACCGCGGGACACCGCGAGCCACCGCCGGACGGGCGGGCGAAGGAGAATCATTTGTCTTGACTTCGCCCTAGCATAGGCGGACACCACGGGACACCACGGGACACCACGGGACACCGCGGAACACCGCGAGCCACCGCCGGACGGGCGGGCGAAGGAGAATCATTTGTCTTGACTTCGCCCTAGCAAAGGCGGACACCACGGGACACCACGGGACACCGCGGGACACCGCGAGCCACCGCCAGACGGGCGGGCGAAGGAAAATCATTTGTCTTGACTTCGCCCCCGCAACGGCGGGTTCATTCCTGACTTTACCCTCGCAACGGCGGGTTCACTCCTCTCGCGCGCTCACGGAGCTTCGCCCCGCGTGCGGGACGAACGAAACGAGACGATTTCCCGGTGGGGGGTCTCCGTTCCAGTGCGATCTCACCCCACAACCTCCGATAGATACGGCCCGCGCCTTCTAAGAAGCGGGGATTCTTCCAAGAAGCTCTCCCCCCTCCCTCTACCCCCCTGTGCGCGTGGCTGAAGAGCGCCGCGAAATCGACTTGCGGCGCTACTCGGCGTTGTCCGCGCGCCAGCATTACACTGCCAACTCCCACGATGCTGCCGCCCCGACTGCCTGGCGGAAGCATTCAGACAGCGCGCTGCGGGAGCCAGAAGCTTCGAGACAGTTTCGGATAACCATGCTTCCCCGCACTTGCCTAGGGCGCCCTTCTCTCCGTGGTCCAGAGGTGGAAGACGATCTCCGCTATCTGGCACAAACACAAGCTGCTGGACAAGGTCCGTGTCTAGACGCCGTAATCGTAATTGAACCCGCTGTGTCACTACCTGCGCATCGCAAGCATGACTATATCACTGTAGCTGGCGACGTTGGACTCCAGCTTCGCATCCCATGTCTCGGAGAGCAACATCAGCGCCTGCTGCTCTTGTCCTGCTCTCTCGCAAGCCCGGATCCCAGCGCTGCGACTAATTGCATCGGGCAACACCTTCACCTCCCACATCTCGCTGAGAAGCAACATGGCCTGCTGCCACTGCCTGCCTTTCTCGCACGCGCTGATCCCAGCGCTGTAGCTGACGAATGCGGACCCGTAAAAAACGTCCGTGGAAGCGTCCACGCGAGGACGAGGATTGCTTGCCTGGTACTGTCCTACTCGCGCGGCTGCTAGAGCCTGCTGGAATAGCAGCCTCATGCTTGCATGCAGGCCTGCCTGCCTGCTGTGCTGCTTAGTCGGCATGACCTTCATGCTTTGCTGCTGTGATAACCTGCCTGCTGCTTTGCTGCTGTGATATTTCGTGTGTTTTGTGCAGCGCTGGCGCGCTGGCTCATCCGTTCGCTGCCGCTTACTGCTTACTGGCGCTTGCTGGTACTTACTGGCGTTAGCTGATCGTAGCGATTGTTGTTTCTTTCTGCCACAGCCCGCCGCTTACTGGTGCGGGCTGATGCTAGTTGGTGGCTGAGGCTGGCACCTTGCAAGCGTCTTGCTGCTCCTTGCTGCTGCTGTGTGCTGATGCAGGTTACTGCTGTTGATGCTGCCTGCTGCTGGCAATTGCTCCTGCCTGCTGTTGCTTACTGTCACCTGCTCATTGCTGCTGCTGGTTGAGAAGACTCTGACAATGAGGCTGTGAATGAGCCCTCTTGGCTACATATTCGGGTGCTCTTGGGCTGCAGGGGGGTAGATTGTGGCCATGTTGAAACAACTAAAATTGTATACCTCTCCTGGGCCGTCTTGGGACCCTCGAGAGGCCCTGCTGGGACGTCGTCGGACTCTCCTCGGGCCGCCTGGGGCCATCTCGGAAGAATCTTCACGACTTCATGGGAAGCTTCCAGTGCGTGCAATAACCTTTCCGGGAACTGCTGGCGAAAAGCCGGAGACAACCCCAACGCGTTTTTTATATATATCAAACAAAAGATGTCTGCTGCCTGGGACATCCCGTGAAGCCTCGTCGGGCCTCTCTTGAAGACTCGTGACCCCCGGTGAAGTCTGCACTTGGCGCCTTTGGAGCACCTCGTGGGGCCCGCTGCCTGGGACCTCCCCTGAAGCCTCGTCGGGCCTCTCTTGCAGACTCTCGTGACCCCCGGTGGAACCTGCGAGCCGGGACTCGAGCACCTCGCCTAGAGGGCAAGCGGGTAAGTCAGGCCTGTCCCCCATGCAGGGGGATTTGGGACGAAAATGAAAAATAGTTGGAAAATACGCGAAACAAATGATTAAACATAATATGTCCCCAGATTATGTTTTGACTACCTTTGAACACTCCTCCTGTAGAGGGACACGCCCGAGTTAAGGCGAGCGCCGCGAAGCGAAGCGGGTGGGCGCCCGGCCTGGGAGACACCTCGGGGGCGGCCCCACGAGGCCTTGGGCCCCCCGGTGACGCTGCCCGGCGCTGCCGGCACGCGCTGCCCACCAGCACCGCACGAGGAGTGTGGACGACGTTCGGCTCCATCCTCGCGGACCCCATGCCCCGGAGCAGCCACAGCGCCCACTGCCACTCGCGCCCCTTCTCGCAAGCGCTGATCCCGGCGCTGCAGCTCGTGGCGTCCAGCTCCACGCGTGCCGCCGCCGTCTCCGAGAGCAGCGACAGCGCCCACTGCCACTGCGCGGCCTTCTCGCAGGCGCTCACCCCAGCATTGAGACTGATGACGTTCAATTCCAGCCTCACCGCCCGCATGTCCCCCAGCAGGGCCAGAGCCTGCTGCCACCTGCCGCCTTTCTCGCACGCGCTGATTCCAGCACTCCAGCCGATTGCGTCCAGCTCAAGCACCGCCCCGAACTCGCTGAGCAGCGACAGCGCCTGCTGCCACTGCCCAGATTTCGCGCAGGCGCTGATCGTGGCCCCGTAGCTGATGGCGTCCGGGTCCAGCTCCACCTGCCCATCCAGCCTTTCCCTAACCGCCTCCTCCTCCTGCTGCTTATCCGTTTCCTTATCCTCCTCCAGAGACCTTCCCCAGGAAAGTGTTTCACCCCAATGCGATGTTTGACGGTCCCAAGTCCTGGTGAGGGCCTCGGGGGCCGAAAACGGCAAAGAAAACTAGTCGTGCTATTGTTGAAGACGTGAGAATCGATTCTCCTCCCCTCATCCTCCTCCGCTACCCCTCCTCCCCCACCTCTGACATTCCCGCCAGCAGCGACAACGCCCACTGCCACTGCCCACCCCTCTCGCACGCACTGATCCCGGCATTTTGGCTGACGACGTTCGACTCCACTGCTGACCCGACCATCTCCTGGCGGGGAGAAGGATACGGATATAAAAAGAACACGCATCGATGAGCAAGCAAAACTGCGTGACCATATAAGCATATACTTTCGAAGGTCCGAGCGGATCACGGTGATCTGCGCTGAACCCCCCTCCCTAGCGCGCGTAGCGCGCCAGAGGCGGCCCCAGATGCGCCGCCAGGAGGTGCAAACGGTCCTTGAGTCTTACTCGATTGTTGTAAGAAGAGGAGGAGGAAAGGAGGAGGAGGAGGAGGAGGAGAATGAGGAGGAGGAGAAGGAGGAGGAGGAGGAGGGGGAGGAGGAGGGCGAGGAGGAGGAGAAGGAGGAGGAGAAGGAGAAGGACGAGGAGTAGGTAGAAGAAGAGGCTTCACTCGCCCACATCCTTCAGCAGCTTCAGCGCCTGCCGCCAGCGCCCGCCGTTCCTGCACGCGCTGACTCCAGCGCTGTAGCTGACCAGGGCTGGCCCGTGGACTTCCGTCCATGAGATCTGCACCGGCGGGTGATGTGCTGGCGGAAGCGATGCAGAACATCGATTACAATGGCGTCGGGCCCCAGGCCCGAGTAGCGAGAAGGGAGAAGCGAGCAGCAAGAAGTCAGCAGGGAGGAGCGAGGCACCGCGAGGAGCGAGGAGGGAGGAAGGAGACGCTGCGGGGCCCTCTGGGGCGCTCGTGAGGCCCTGGACGGGGCCGCGGAGACGGGCAGGCAGAAGATGCAGGGATGGCTGAGGAGCGAGCGTGCAGCCAGCAGCTGGGAGCGAGGGGCCAGAAGAGAGGAGCGAGCAGGCAGCGATGACCGAGAGGAGCGAGGATGCACGGGGCGACTAGAGAGAGAGAGAGAGAGAGACAGAGAAGAAGAGAGAAAAAACAACAAAAAGAGAGAGAGAGAGAACAAAAAATGAAGAGACACCGAGAGGCACAGAGAGACAGCCGCTCCCTGCCGCTGGCCGATGCTTGCAGGTACGCGTGCCGCTGTTGGTGACTGATGCTGCTGCTGCTGCTGCTGCTGCTGCTGCTGCTGCTGCTGCTGCTGCTGCTGCTGCTGCTGCTGCTGCCTGCTGCATGCTGCTGTTGCTTGCGACTGCTGTGCGCTGCCGCTGCGGCTGATTGCTCCTTGATCCGTGCTGCTGCTGCTGCTGCTGCTGCTGCTGCTGCTGCTGCTGCTGCTGCTGCTGTTCGCTGACGCTGCTCCTTTCTGCTGCCAGCTGACGCCACCTGCTGCGCGTGAGAGAATCGAGGGGCGAGGAGCGAGGGGAGAGAAGTCACGATCAAGGAGGGGGCACAGCGTTGGCTAGGAGGAGGAGGAGGAGGAGGAGGAGGAGGAGGAGGAGGAGAGGAGAGGAGGAGGAGGAGGAGGAGGAGGAGGGGGAGGGGGAGGGGAAGGAGGAGGGGAAGGAGGAGGGGGAGGGGGGGAGGGGGAGGAGGAGGAGGAGGAGGAGGAGGAGGAGGAGGAGGAGGAGGAGGAGGAGGAGGAGGAGGAGGAGGAGGAGGAGGAGGAGGGTGAGGGCGGGAGGGGGAGGAGGGAAGGAGGAGGAGGAGGGGGAGCAGGAGGGGAAGGAGGAGGAAGGAGAGGGGGAGGAGGAGGAGGAGGAGGGGGAGGGCGAAGGGGAGGAGGAGGAGGAGGGGGAGGAGGGGGAGGGAACGAAACACGAGGAGCGATCCGCGAGGAACGAGGAGCCGGGAGCGGGACGGGGGGAGCGGCGGCCGGAGGAACCAAAAGGGGCGAGGAGGGGCGAGGCAGGGCCGAGGAAGGGAGGGAGGTGCGAGCAGCCAGAGGGGAGAGCCCATGGGGCCAGGAGGAGGAGGAGGAGGAGGAGGAGGAGCGAGTAGCCATGGGGAGCGCGAGAAGGTGCGAGTGGCCATGCGGGGGAGGTGCGAGCGCCCAGGGAGCCGGGGAGGTGGGGAGGAGGGGGGGGTGCGGGTAGCCATGGGAAGCGCGGAGAGGAGGAGCGACAAGAGAGAATCAGGAAGCGACGGGCGAGAAGTCGCGGGCAGGGAGAGAGGAGCGTGGAGCGAGAACCACGGAGGGAGGCTTGACGATCGGCCAGGACTTAGGTCGGGCATGTCCTGCTACAGGGAGATTCTGGAAAACACATGACACAAATCAAACCAATGACTATTCAAACATAATCAAAAATAGTCGAAAGTCGAAAAATCGTCCACTGACTCTGCTTCACTATTTTTGAATACTCCTCCTGTGGAGGGACGCGCCCGACTGAAGCCAACGCGCGGATCTCCAGATGGCCTCTGCGACCCTGTGAGCGATCCCCTGGTCTCTTCCGCAGGTTCCTCGTGGGGCCTTCTTGGGTTAAATCGGGCATGTCCCTCAACAGAGAGAATATCCCAAATTAGGTAGAAAATATGGGGAACGATTTTTTAACTATTTGATTTTTTAACTATTTGTCACAATGTTTGAACATTTCTTGGCTATCTTTCCTCCCAAATCCGCCTGTAGGAGGACATGCCCGACCTAATTCTTGGGGCCGTCTTCAGAGCTTCGCGGGCTCCGTTTCGGGCCCCTCCGCGTCTCATGGGGCCACCTGGGTGTCCTTCAGCGCCTCTGGGTGCTGATGTGGGGGACCAGGCGCGCTGAGGAACGGGGACCAATATGTTCGGGACGTGTTGGGGCAGCTCCGGGGCCGTCCGGGGCCCTGAGGACTGTTCCGGGAGTCGCAGGGGGGCGTTTTCTCTTATGTAAAAGATGAAGGTGGGGGCTTTCCAGTGTGTGGAGGTTTACCTCTTCCCTCGCAGACACCCCTGCTCACTCGGACGTTGCCGGTCAGCGGCCAGCTGTTTCCACCAGGCCGCTGCAGCCGCACCCAGGCCGCGCAGGTAAGTGAGGGCTTCGAAACTCAGGCGCCTTCTTCGCACGATCTGCTCCGGGACTGTCGGGGAGACGAGGGCTGACCTGTGGGTTTCGTCCAGGGGAAAGCAGACGCGCATGCATACAAGGATTGGAGTGCTGCGCAGTTGGCCGCCTCAATGGCTGGGTGACAGAGGGGCCGCTCAGCAGGGGTCCCCGAAGATTTGCAGATGAGTCTTCCTCGCCCCCCGCCTCCTTGTTGCTGCATGCCGCCTAATGTTACTGCGTGCTGCTGCTTTCTGCTGCTGGCTGCTGGCTACTGCTAGCTGCTGCGTGCTGCTGGTTGCTGCTTCTTGCCGCCTGCTACGGCTTGCTGGCGATGCTGGCTGTTGCTCGCCTGCTTTGTGTATGCTGCGGATGCTTGCCTGCTGCGTGCCTGCCGCTGCTTGCCGATGCTTGCTGCTGGTCGCTGCGGCGTGCTGCTGCGGGGCGCCGCTGCTTCTGGCGCGGCATGCTGCTGCGATCCGCGGGTGCCGGCGGGCCGCTGTGCCGCTCGCCGCTGCTCGGCGGTGCTCCCGCCTGCAGCTGCCGCTGCTGCTTGCAGCCGCTCGCTGTCGCTGACTGCTTGCGGGCGGCTGCTGCTTGCTGCTTGCTGCCAGAGCTGCTCCTGCTGCCAGATCTGATGCTGCCGTGGGATGTCACCGCCCTGGGATCGAGCCTGGGGGGCCTCAGCCAGTGGCGGGTATGGACATGTGTTGCCTCCACGGCCCGAATCTGTCCGTATCCACCGCCTGCCGAGGTCCCCGACGATCGATTCTCCAGGCGGAGGTTCTGGACAAATCCGCGCCTCAGATTTGGACCTGGTGGACACCCTTCTGGTGCCTCTCGGGCCGAATGGGGTGCCTCTTAAGGCCGTCTTGGGCTGTCTGGAGGCCGCCCTGGGACCCTCCGTGGAGGTGTTGGGGTTATCTCGCGGACGCTCGGGGCCTTCCGTGGGTGCTCTTGGGCCGTCCTGCCGCCCTCTGGGGACCATCTTGGAGCTTGCCTGGGCGAAATCACCAGGGAGGAAGCAGGCGGCAGGAAAGAGGAGATACTCAGAAGGAGAAAACAAGGGGAAGGAGAAAGCGAGGAAGAAGCGGAGAAGGAGAAGGGAGAGAAGCGCGAGCAGGGAGAGGGGGAGGCGGAGGAGAAGCGGGGGAGAAGGTTAGAGGGGAGGATGAGGAGGCAACCAGCAACCTGCCTTTCTGGTAGGGGCCGTGACATGTATCACGCGTGCACGAAGTAAATGACGTTCGGCTCCACCTTTACATCCCGCATCTCTTCGAGCAGCGACAGCGCCCACTGCCACTGCCCACCCTTCTCGCACGCGCTTATCCCAGAACTGTAGCTGATGACATCCGTCCCCACCCTGACTTCTTCCATGCCCCTGAGCAATGACAGCGCCCGCTGCCACTGACGGCACCTCTCGCACGCCGTAACAGCAGCACTCCAGTTCAACATCTGTTGCTCCAACGATGCCTCGTCCATTTCCCTCAGCAATGCTAGTGCCCGCTGCCACTGCTCACCTTTCGCGCACGCGTTGATCCCAGCGTTGTAGCTGACTAGGGCTGACCCATGGACTACCGTCCACGAATGCCGGAGGATTGAGCGTGCGCTCGTTGCTGTTTATTGCTTCAGGGTGCGCTGTTTGCTTGATGATCCTAACGGCGTCTGGAGCAGCGCTGGCAGCAGCAGCAGCAGCAGCAGCAGCAGCAGCAGATCCAGCACCATCGGCAGTAGCAGCAGCAGCAGCAGCAGCAGCTGCAGCAGCAGCTCCAGCAATAACAGAAGCAACGCGGACCTCTGGGGGGCCTCCCGGGGGCCTTCTCGTCCTCCTCGTCCTCGTCCTCGTCCTCGTCCTCGTCCTCGTCCTCGTCGTCGTTGTCGTCGTCGTCGTCGTCGTGGTCGTGGTCGTGGTCGTCGTCGTCGTGGTCGTCGTCGTGGTCGTCGTCGTCGGCGTCGTCGCCGCTGTCGTAGTCGTCGTCGTCGTCGTCGTCGTCGTCGTCGTCGTCGTCGTCGTCGTCGTCGTCGTCGTCGTCGTCGTCGTCGTCGTCGTGGTCGTGGTCGTGGTCGTGGTCGTGGTCGTGGTCGTGGTCGTGGTCGTCGTCGTCGTCGTCGTCGTCGTAGTCGTCGTCGCTGTCGTCGTCGTCGTCGTCGTCGTCGTCGTCGTCGTCGTCGTCGTCGTCGTCGTCGTCGTTGTCGTCGTTGCCGTCCTCCTCGTCATCATGCTCCTCTTCCCCTCCTCTCGCCCTCCTCCTCCTCATCCGTCCTATCCCCTTCCTCCTGTCCAGCCTGCTGCTTGTCGTGCCAGCAGTGCCGCGTGCTGTAGCAGGCTGTTCCCAGCGGGGGCATCGGGGAAGCTGCGGGGGGCCCTCCGATACCCGGGAGGGGGTCCTAGTGAGGCTCTGTGGGAGCCTCTGGAGAGCTTCCGGGAGCCTCTTGAGAACTCTTGGGAGCGCCTCTGAAGCCTTCTGGGAGCCTCTGGAGAGCGCCCGGGGGCCTCTTGGGAGCGCCTCCGGGGCCTTCTGGGGCTCTCTCGGGGGCGTCTTGGAGCCTTGCTGGTCGTGGAGGGGCCCAGAGGGGGGGGGAAGCGCTCCGAACTGGACCCTCTTGGGCGTCCCTTGGGGCCGTCTGGTGGGATTCTTGGGCCGTCTTGGAGGGCCCCGGGAGCTCGATCGGGGGCCTCTGGGGCCGTCTTGGGGACTCTCTTGGAGGCCCCCCGGGCAGCATGGGCCCGATTTCGGACGCCCGTGGTGCCGCGGGCAGGAGGAGCACCTCCGGAAACGTCAAAAACCCTCGAGAATATCTATAGTTTGCGGCCTCGGGGCCCTCGTGGGGTCCCCTGGGAGCTCCGTGGAAGCTCGTGAGGGCCCTCCGAGCCCGTCCTGGGGCCCTCTCGGGCTCGCTGGGGAGCTCCCGGGAGACTCCGTCCTGAGGCTGTCCCGGGCCGGGACGGCGTCACCCCACGGGCGGGGCCCCCGGGGCGCAGCCGCGGGTGACCATCGCTCGCTCTTCTCGCAAGCGCAAGTGCCCGGTATTGTGTGTACCCGTAGAGCAAGTCCGCAAACGCCCTGGCAGGGGAACGCGGCGGGACCACCTCTGGGCCATCTTGGGTCGTCTTGGGCCCCTCTTGGGTCGTCTTGGGCCTTCCCTGGGCTGTCTTGCAGCTCTCTTGGGCCGTCGTGCAGCCTTGCGGGAGGTTTTGGAGCACCCGGAGGACATCGAAAATTGCCCCAAGAGGGGCTCGAGAGAGCCCGAAGACGTTCCCAAGAGGGCCCCCAGAAAGCACCCGACGTATACTACAACAGGCGGGTGCGTCGTAGCATCTGATCGGGGGGGCTCTTAGGGTTCTCTTTGAGCGCCTCGGGGCTGTCTAAGATCCACCTTGGGCTCGAGTGAGCCATCTCTGGGCAATTTTGAATCGTCTTGGGCGCCTCTTGGGTCGTCTTGGGCTCTATTGGGCCGTCTTGGGGCCCTCTCGAGCCGCCTTGGAATTCTCTGGGGGGCTTTTTGGGCCAGCTTGGGGCGATATGGGGGGCTGTTGGGCCGTCGTGGACGCGGCAAGGGCCAAACGTCGTATGTGCGAAACATGTGTTAAGACATATTAGCCCACGTGGACCCCCAAACCATGTGTTTCTAGCAATCGGCCACCGTGCCCCCTGGCGCGCTGAGGCGTGCTAAAACCTGAGCGGACAAGAACGGAAACGCCGATTTAGTGAAATGGTCATATTGGGGGGAGAAAAAAGAAGGAAGGCGAGGGCGACGAGGAGGCGATGACGAGAATGACGTGGAGAACGTGAAAATAACGAGGAGCAGCATGAGGACAACGAGAAGGAAGAGAAGCACAAGGACGAGCACGGTACAGAAGACGATGACGACGACGACATAGGACAGTAATAGGCAAGTGGAGAAGGATGTTGAATCAGGAGAGGGTCTGGTGACACTATCGGGCTACCTTGGGGGCTCCTGGCGCCGCGAGGAGTTATCTTGGGGCCTGTTGGGGGTTTCATGGTGTCACACGCCCCATGGCCCCATAAGGGGCCCCACAGAAGGCACCAGCAGCGGTGCCCACATGCGCCCCCGCCACCCATGCTGGCACACCCCTCACACGCTTCGTGGCCTCATAAGGAGCTCCACCGAAGGCCCCAGTGGCGGTGCCCATATGCGTCTGCGCCACCCATTTCGGCACACACCTCACTCGTTTCGTGGTCACATAGGGGGCTCCACCGAAAGCCCCCGTGGCGGTGCCATCATGCGCCCGCGCCACCCATGTCGGCACATCCCTCGCACGCTTCGTGGCCCCATAGGGAACTCTACCTGAGATCCAGTGGCGCAGTTTGCATGCGTCCCCGCCGCTCATTTCGGCACATGTATCAAGCGTTTCGCAACCCAGGGCTCGCGGTCGTCGCCGCCGCCGCCGCAGCCCCCGACTTAGTATTTCGGCACCCCCTCTCACACGATTCGTGGTAACACAAGGAGCGCCACCGAAATCGATTCTCGCATTTGCGGCACCAGCATCTGCATATGGTTGGGTCTTTCGCCAGGCTACGTGTCAACATAAAGTTTGCGTGCGTTCTTGCGAACTATAAGACAACCCGTCGGTTTTTGTTGTCAACATGTTCATACAATGTTGCCAGACCGGCCTGGCCCGCGCATGTCGAAATCGGCCGAACGCCCTTGCCCGCGTGCTGTCGCACATAACCCGTGTAAAAAATGTGGCGGCATGCACATGCCGAAATCCCGCAACAACCGTTTCGTGTCGTATGGATGTCAAAAATCGTGTGCGCCGAAAAAATCGAAAAAAAAAAAAACACAAATGATATTGCAACATTATTTGTCACGCAGAACCTGCGACAACGCTCTTGAGAATTCAAAAAAACCATCGGAAATCAACATGTTCGCTCAATTCTGCCAAACGGGCCTCTCGCGCCGCATGTCGGACTCATTCGAACGCCCTTGCACGCGTGCTGGGGGAGTGGGGTACGAACCGTGTCAAATAATACCATGCGGGCCACTCGCGCGCGTCGGCCGAGCGTGCATGTGGAACTCCTTCCAACACCTTCGTCACCGACGCGAGGACGCCGTCATCGTTGCCGGCGTGATCAGCATCGGCGACGTCAGTGGCCGTGCCGTCCTCGTTGTAATCATCGTCAAGATCATCGCTACTATCAGCATCGTGTCTACCATTGTCGACCTTACCATGCTACGGCGTCCGCCCAAGACGCCAACTCGCACTGAAGTGCCTGCTGGGAAGTGCCGAAAGGTCAGTGCCACCGCGGCCGCGTCGGTCGCGCAAAACTAGCTGGCCGCTGCCCGCGCGAGCATGCGCGGGCTAGCGCGGCCGCAGAGATGCACCAGCCAATACCAAGAAAAAATCGCAATACACGCAGCATTGGCTTTGCAAACACAGATGCGGGTGGGTGGGTGGGATGATTGCGTGAGCAGTGGAGTTGACAACTCACTGCGAACAGACATTAATTGTATCACTGAGTCTGCAGCAGATGCACAAGCATGTTGAACCTCACGTAATGCACCAGATGGATTGCCCAACGTGTATTGCCCAACATCGGATGCACAGCATACACAGTCGGACCTACACCAGGAAAAAAACAACAACAAAAAACATAATTCAAGAACATGAGATCCTCCGCCAACCAGAACACACAGAACATCTGAGGGTACTCTCCCCCAGAATACACAATAATATCAAACAAGCGCGAAGAACATGAGGGCATCCTCTCCGAACCGGCCTGGATGTTAGACCTCGGTCCAGCAATATTGCACCACGTGTGCTGCACAACATAGTGCATCACACAGATTGCACCAGTTAGGGTTCACCACATAGCTTGGTCAACATAGATTGAACCGGATGGGTTCCACCACATGGATGGCACATCCCAGATTGCACCACGTAGAGTGCACAAGATCTGCCAAGTAGAATGCACAACATACGTAGCAAGAAATACACTGTTTGGGGTCCACGCTGGCTAACATAGGCTGTGTCATCTATGTTGTGCAACCTATGTTGTGCAATCTCACTTTGACTGTCTTGAACCTCTCCTCTCCACTGCTCGTGCAAACATCCCACCCGCCCACCGGCAACTTGGTCGCAAGACGTCTTAAGACCGTGACGGTGGGTACCAAATGGCACTTGGCAGCGACAGCGACGCCGACGACGAAAGCGACAACGACGACGACGACGACGACGCCGAGGACGACGACGACGAAGACGACGACAACGACGACGACGTCGCCAACGAAGACGACGCCGACGACGAGGGAGGAGGGAGGACGACGACGGCGACAACGACGACAACGAGGGAGAGAGGACGGCGACGACCTGAACGACGAAGACGGAGGGAGGACGGCGACGCCGACGACGACAACGACGAGGGAGGAGGGAAGACGACGACGACGACGACGACGACATCGGCGACAAAATAGGAGGGACGACAACGAGACGCCGACGACGGACGACGACGACGACGACGATGAGGGAGGAGGAAGGACGACCACGGCGACAACGACGACGGTAACGACGACGACGCCAAAGAGGACGACGACGACGACGAGGAAAGACAGAGGACGACGACGGCGACGACGACGACGACGAGGGAGGAGGGAGGACGGCGACGACGAGGACGACGCAAGAGCGCGCGCGCACGCTTTTGTTGAAAATCCGTCTTGCGAAACCCTGTGTTTTTGTATGTTGTTTGGACACTCGATTTTGCAAGTCTTCCGACACCCAAGGTTTCTGAAAGATTTCGGCATGCGCGCGCGACGACGCGCGCGCGTGCACTTCTTCTTTTTTTTGCTGAGGACTCGCGACGGCACGCGCGTAATGACGTTCGAACGATTTTGACATAAGCGCGCGGGAAGCCTATTTGGTAGCATGTTTTGAAAATCTTGGCAACAACCGATAGTTTTCTTAAGATGTCGCAAGAGCGCGCGCGTAAGCTTGTTTAGGAAATCAGTGTTGCGAAACCCTGAGTTTGTGTATGTTTTTTGGGAAACTCGATCTTGAACTCCTTCCGAAATCAAAAGTTGTTGCAGGATTTCGGCATGCGCGCGCGACGACGCGCGCGTGTGTACTTCGCCCAATTGTTTGTCAAGGATTCTTGAAAACTTATGATTTATGTTGAGCGAGTGCGCGCGCATAGCATGTTGTGCAAAAAATGACGGGGGGTCGATATCGGTTTGGCTGGGAAAGTATGAACTCACAGGTAAGATGGACGAGTGTGCATCACAAGTATGAAATCACAATACCCCAGGGGGATCGTTAACTCCGGGGGGGGTAGAGTCCATTCTTCTTTGAGAAAGGAGAATTAACGGCGGCGACGAGCGGTCACGGCGGCGACGGGGCGGCGACGGCGACAACACACACGCCAGACCGACCGACAGGCTCGGTCGCGGGCGGCGACGAGGCGGCGACAGGGCGGCCACATAGCTGCCAGACCAACAGACAGGCCCAAATCCCGAGAAGAGAAAGAACTCACAAGTGCACGCACGGCTTGGGGAACCAACAGAAAGTGTTCGATTTCTGCCCCGGGAGAGCACCCGACGGATGCTGCAACAGGGGGTGCGTTGTAGCATGCGTTGGGGGGCCTCTCCAGGCTCTCTGGCAACGCTCGTTGGGCCGTCTTGGAATGCACCTGGCGCTCCAGTGGGCCATCTCAGGGCCATCTTGGGTAGCCTTGGGAGCCTCTTGGGCCGCCTCTTGGGCTGGCTGGAGACGACCCGGGGCGGCTGTTGAGCCGTCGTGGACGCTGCAAGGACCCCAAAATCGTGTATGCTGATGGTAACGTTTGGAAACAACCACTGTCAATGTTTGCGCCAGGAGGCCCTGCTGGGAATGTTACTTGAGCGCCCTGGGGCCCTTTTGCAAGGCTTTTCGGCAGTATGAAGGCCGTCTCGGGCTATCTTGGGGCACTCTGAAGCCGCATGAACGCCAGTCGTGGGCCATCGTGAGGCCACCCACTTTTGGTAGGTGGATCTCTCAAGCTCTCCGCAGCCTCTGGCGGTGCGCGTTGCGAGCAGGAGCGCAGCAAAGCCACAGGAAAGCGCGGCGTTGGCAGTGCAGCTCCGCACAAAACACATGACAAATGCAAACGAGCAGGAACGCAGCAAAGCCCCAGGAGAGCGAGGCATTGACAGTGTGGCTCAACATTGACGCGGTGGTGGCCGGGGAGCGCCCGCGGCCTTGGAAAGCACCTTTCGGGCTCGTCTGCTTGGGCCGTCCGGAAGGCGGGAGGGCCAGAGGACCCCCCACGCTTTGCCTTGGGTCGGGCACGTCCCCCCGCCGGCGGATTTTTGGACGATAGATAAAACATGCAGAACAGACCCTGGAAAACAGACAAGAAACTTACAAGTCCCCAGACTAGCTGTTCAACTCCTGTCGACTATTCCCCCTGTAGAGGGACATGCCCGACTTCAGGCTTTGCCCCGAGGGGCATCTTCCACGCGCTGCTCCTGGCATTGCAGAATAGATGACGCTGGGCTCCAGTCTCAGCTCACGCATGCCTCTGAGCAGCCGCAGCGCACGCTGCCACTGCCCTCCCTTTTCGCACGCGCTGATCCCGGCATTGCAGCTGACGACGTCAAGGTCCATGCCCGACCCCGCCAGCTCGAAGAGCAGCGACAGCGCCCGCTCCCACTGCGCGCCCTTCTCGCATGCACTGATTCCGGCGCTGTACAAGGCGACGTCCGCCTCCAACTTGGCCTCCAAAGCCTCCCTCAGCAGCAACAGAGACTGCTGCCATTGCCCACCTTTCTCGCACGCGCTGATGCCGGCACTGTAGCTGACTGACTGGCGTGGGCCTTTGGGCACCTGGTAGCCTGCTTCCACAGGACAATGTCGCAAAGGCGTGGAACATGTTTGCCCCACGAGGAGAGGGAGGAGCAAGAGGGCGAGGAGGAGAATACGAAGGATCGGGAGGAACAAGTCAGAAGAGGGCTAGGAGGCGGGCAAGGAGCACGAGGACGGACGATAGCACTTTGCTCCAGCTTCGCTGCTCCCAGATCCCTCAACATCGACAACGCCCGCTGCCACTGCCCGCCCTTGGCGCACGCGCTGATCCCGGCACTGAAGCTGATAATGTTTGGCTCCAACGCCGTCTCGCACATCTCGCCGAGCAGCGATAACGCCTGCTGCGGAGGAGGAGGCGGGGAGGAGGAGGTAGAGCACCATGAGAAGGAGCAGACGAGGCGGGGAGGAGGCGGAGGAGGAGGAGGCGGGGAGGAGGAGGTGGAGGAGGAGGAGGCGGGGAGGAGGCTGAGAGGAGGAGAAGGACCGGAAGCCAGGAGGCGGGAGCAGGCGGGGAGGAGGAGGTGGAGCACCACGAGAAGGACGGGGGAACTTTGGAGCATGAGACCCTGCCTGCTGCCACCGCCCACCTCTCTCGCAGGCGCTCATGCCGGCACTGTAGCTCACGACGTCTGGCGCCGTGCTCGCCTCCCGCATCTCGTCGAGGAGCAGCAGGGACTGCTGCCACTGCCTGCCTTTTCCGCACGCGGCGATGGCGACGTTGTACACGACAGCCTCGGCTGGCGCGCGCGAGCGCGGCGCCTCTCGCAGGAGGCCCAGTGCAGCGCGCCACTGCCTCGTGGCCCCGCAGTCCTTGATGGCGGCCACGCGGGAGGCCACGCTTCTCCCCGGGGCTCTGGACGGCGGGATTCTTTTTATCTGGAGGGGGACTCCTCCTCCTCCTCCTCCTCCTCCCCTCCTCCTCCTCCTCCCTCCTCCTCCTCCTCCTCCTCCTCCTCCTCCTCCTCCCTCCTCCTCCTCCTCCCTCCTTCCTCCTCCTCCTCCTCCTCCTCCTCCTCCTCCTCCTCCTCCTCCTCCTCCTCCTCCTCCCCCTTTCTCCTATCATCCTCCTGCTCCCCCTGCTCCTCCTCCTCCTCCTCCTCCTCCTCCTCCTCCTCCCTCCTCCTCCTCCTCCTCCTCCTCTCCTCCTCCTCCTCTCCTCCTCCTCCTCCTCCTCCTCCTCCCTCCTCCTCCTCCTCCTCCTCCTCCTCTCCTCCTCCTCCTCCTCCTCCTCCTCCTCCTCCTCTTCCTCCTCCTCTCATCATCCTGCTCCTGCTCCTGCTCCTGCTCCTGCTCCTGCTCCTCCTCCTCCTCCTCCTCCTCCTCCTACGAAGCCGAGGCCGAGGCCGAGGCAGGGAGGTGGGCCCTGTCGTTGGCCCGCGGCGCGGCCGGCTCCAGGCGCCGCACCGTGGAGGCAGAAAGGGTCTTCGGCGGGACTCGTAGAAGCCTCCCAGATGGGGTCGGAGCAGACGGGGTCGGAGCAGACGGGGGTCGGAGCAGACGGGGGTCGGAGGATCGCGCAGCATCGGCGATACATCGGCGATGCATCGGCGATGCATCGGCGATGCATCGGCGATGCATCGGCGATGCACTGGCGATGCACCAGCGACGTCGGCGATGCATCGGCGACGTCCGCGTGAAAGAAATCGGGCTCCGCATCGAGCCGCATCGGCGATGCATCGGCGATGCGGTGACGCGCCCTCAGCGCACGTTACCTTCGTCGTCTTTCCTCAGACCCCCGACTCCTTGCTTCGTGTGCCCTCAAGTCTCGTACATGGGTGCAGGCGGGGAGCTTCAAGTGGTCCCCGCGCCGAACACCGCAATCGAGGACGTATCGCCCATGCGTGGCCCACAGAGACAGCATTGCTGGGACCCTGCGCCCGACCCCCACATTCACCCTCCAACCCCCTGGGGTCTTCGGCGGGACTCGGGGACGCGCAAACATGGATTAGTGATCCATGGATTTGGCCCGCGGCCGCCAAATCCATGGATCGGGGGAGGTGCCCTCCCCCAAATGCGGCCGGTGCCGCCTCGCTCGGCGGCGGAACTCCGCACTTTCCCACGGAAACGGGACCCGTCGCTAATCCACGCCCCTTTAATCCATGTTTGCGATCGCCTGATCCTCTCTGTCCCTTCGTGGCGTGCGATCCCTCGGCCGGAGAGCCGCTGGAAAGCCAGCGAGAAGCGACGAGGACACCCGAACACCTCGAACCTCGAACGTCCTCCTCCTCCTCCTGCCCCTCCTCCTCCTCCTCCTCCTCCTCCTCCTCCTCCTCCTCCTCCTCCTCCTCCTCCTCCCCCCTCCTCCACCTCCTCCTCCCCCTCCTCCTTCTCCTCCTCCTCCTCCCCCTCCTCCTCCTCCTCCTCCTCCTCCCCCTCCTCCTCCTCCTCCTCCTCCTCCTCCTCCTCCTCCTCCTCCTCCTCCTCCTCCTCCTCCTCCTCCTCCTCCTCCTCCCTCCTCCTCCTCCTCCTCCTCCTCCGCCTCCTCCTCCTCCTCCTCCTCCTCCTCCTCCTCCTCCTCCATGTGGCTTCGGGCGAATGGCGCATGGACCAGCCCCTGCCTCCAGAGCCCCGGTGCTCGATGCCGCCCCGTGGCCAGCAGCCCTGGTCATTGGCCGGGTCCGCCTGCGGCGCCTCTGGCCCCAGTGGCCTCGCCTTCGAGGACGGGTACTGCAGGTCCGTGTCGTGACGACCCCAGCGTTGGTTTCTGACGCCGCGTGGGTCGTTCAACTTTGAACGATCGGCGACTGTGGATCGCTCGATCGTTCCATATAGGTTGATTCTGGGTCGCTGGCGGCGTTCAACCTTGAACGCCCGCGGCGGGATCGCCGCCGGTCGACGCGACGCGAACCTACCGTAACGGGAAAGGGGGGGGAGAACCCCGAGGCCCTCGCCGGGCCCCAGGACCGTTCAAAAACCTGCCTGGGATGAGGCACCGGCCCTGGGAAAGGAGTGTGGGCTTCCAGGGGCCCCGTGTCGACAAAAAAAAAAAAAAAAAAAACATCGCACGTCTGAGCAGAAAGGGAGGAGTGGGATGAAGGGAAAGGAGGGGGTAGACAAAGACACAAAGGGGAGTAGGGAGACGGGAAAGGCAAGGAAAGGGAGGGGAAGTGAGCGGGAGGACAAGCACACAGGAGGGGGATCAGGGGGGAGAAGCAGATTGATGAGAATGATGGGCAGAAGGGGGATGAAGAAAGGAAGAAGGAGGACAAGAAGGGGGAAGGAGGAGAGGAGAGGAGGAAGGGCTCGCTCCTCCTCCTCCTCCTCCTCGTCCTCCTCCTCCTTCCCCCTCTCAAGTGTATAAATCGCGATCATCACATCACTACCACAACCAGCAGCATCACCGACACCATCGCCATCGCCGTCCTCCTCCTCCTCCTCATCAGCATCACCATCATCAACATCACCAGCATAATCATTATACTCATTATTATCATCGTCGTCACCATCATCATAATCATCATCATCACCATCAACAAAATCATTAAACTCATGTTCATCATCGTCAGCAGCAACATCATCATCATCATCATCATCATCATCATCATCATCATCATCATCATCATCATAATCAGCATCATCATGATGATCATCATCATAATCATCATCATCAGCAGCAGCATCGTAATCATGAGCATCGTCGTTATCACCAACATAGGCATAGCATCAGCATCAGCACATCACCACCATCGTCATCACCAGCACCATCATCATCATAGTCATCGTCATCATCGTCGGCGTGCCGACATCCTCCTCATCATCACCAAACGCATCATCATCGTCGTTACCATCGTCATCAACATCGCCGTCATCATCATCAGCATTATCATTATGAGCATCAGTATCGTCATCACCCTCATCATCAACATCATTATCAGAATCGTCGTCGTCACCATCATCGGCATCATAATCATCAACGTCATCAGACTCACCGTCCATCCTGCTCATGCTTTCATCTCCTCCCCCTCCTTGTCCTCCTTCCTCATTCTGGTCATCCTGTACAAACCCATAATGTTTTTCCCGATCCTCCTTTCCTCCCATCTCCCCTCCCTCCGAACCGCCTCATCCTCCACCTCCCCTCATTCCCTTCCTTCTCCTCCTGTACCTCCAAGCCCATGGACTTCCCCTTGCCCTCCTCAGCCTACGGTGTGGAACTGTTGCTGAGCGTGTCTCGCGGCGGCGGCCCAAAAAGACACGCTATCCCCTACAAGAGGATAGCGCTTACCGCTCCACTGCGCGAGGCGGGAGGCCACGAAAGGCCTGGAACGTTCACGATTCAGCGCCAGCACGTGGTGAGCGTGTCGCGCCGAAGCGTGATGGGCCGGAATGGGCGGCGCGACACGCCAAGACAAAGTTCCCGACGGTGCAACCCCCCTCCTCCTCCTCCTCTTCCACCTCCTCCTCCTCCTCCTGCAAACCGTCCTCCTCCTCCTCCTCCTCCTCCTCCTCCTCCTCCTCCTCCTCCTCCTACAAACCCTCCTCCCTCGTCCTGCTTTTCTCAGTGAGGGCTCTGGCCCAGTGTATTGTATCTTTGTGTTGTCGGGCCTCTGGGCCTACACCAGAGGGGCGTCAAGGTGGTAGGGGGAGGGGGGAACGCTTCTTAGAAGCAGGCTGCTTCTTAGAAGGCGCCAGCCTTGCATCTGCAGAGAAGGCCCGCGCCTTCGAAGGAGCAGGGTTGTTTCGAAGAAGACTTCTCCCCTCCCCCGGGCCCCCTCGGCTCGTGGTCGAAGAGGGGCGCAAGAGCAGGGTGTGTCGGAGTGCCCGGCGGGATGCTTTGTCACACGTGAAAAGTGTACGTGCGCGAGGGGAGGCAGGCGCCAAAGACGAGGTGTCCCACATATGCGAGTCGGCGTGCAAGTGGGACGTGCCTTCACGTGCAGCATTTGCGCCCGTCGGTGGGCGGCGCGCAAAGGGGGGCAGGGGGAGGGAGGACGGCTTCTTAGAAAGTGCCTGCTTCTTGGAAGGCCCCCGGCCTTGTCTGTAGAGAGGGCCCGCGCCTTCTAAGAAGCAGGGGTGCTGCGAAGAAGCCTTCCCCCTCCCTTACCCTTCGGTCGGCCGTGTCCCCCTGGAGGCGGATCAACAACAACAACAACAAAAACAACAACAACAACAACAAAAAAATACTCAACAATTTTCAACAATGATGCTCAAACAACCGCTTCAATACTATGTTTTGACTATTTTCGAATCCTCCTCCTGTAGAGGGGCGTGCCCGACTTGACCCTACCCCCCTCTGCGCGTGGCCGCTCTTCGGGCCGAACGAAAGGGGGGGATACGTAAAAGGGGGGGGTACGAAGTCTGCTGCATGCGGCTGGTTTCGGCCCCGCCGCCGGGCCCACTCCTCGATGCGTGGGCGCGTCCCGGCGCTGGGAGGCGCTGGGAAAATCGGCTACGTGAGCTGATTATCTACCCTACCCTTTGCTATCCCCCCCTTTCGTTCCCCCCGAGGTCTGCGCCAATAGGCGGGGGGGGGTATCCAACTTGCGCCCGGGCGTGCACGCGGCACGGTCTTTTCACGTGTGTGGCTCTTGGCCGGCAAGGGCTTCGGCCGAGGCTCTGTGCTGGCAGGAGGAGCCCAGAACCGAGCCTTCAGCCAGGCGTGTCCCTCTTCAGGAAGAAGAATCAAAAAATGATATGGGGACGATTGTTCCGTGAATTTTGCATGTTGATTGTTTGGCTATTTTTCATTTTTCCTCATACATTCGCCTGTAGAAGGACATGCCCGACCTAAACCGAACCGACAAGCCAGATCGGCGAGCGAAGTGAGTCGGACCGGCGGAAATCGGCAGCCGAGTCGGGAAAAGCCGGATCGGCAGATATCGGCAGTCTACTGGGCCTCCCTGGGGAAAAGCGGATCCCGGATCGGAATCCGAAGTCGAATCGAATCCGAGTCGCAGTCCTTCGAGATCGAATCGGATCGAATCGGAGGAACGGAGATGAGCCATGGTGTCGTCGGGCCCCTGACCCCAGGCCGGCGGGGTGTGAAGCAGGGCGCGTCGGATTCTTAGCCGCGGCTTCTGGCGCGCAGCTGGCAGAGTGGCTGGAAAACCTCCCCTGCCGGCCGCGTGTGCTGCGGGCCGCGGTCGACGACGACGACGAGAAGGGCGAGGATGGTGACCATGACGTTGACGACGACGATGATGATGATGATGATGATGATGATGATGATGATGATGATGATGATGATGATGATGACGATGAGGAAATGGAGGAGGAGGAGGAGGAGGAAAAAAAAAGAGGAGAGGAGGAAGCTGGGGGAGCGAGGAGCAGGAGCAGGAGAAGGAGGCGGGGGAAGCTTGGGCGGGGGGTGGGGAAATGATGATGGGGAGGAGGAAGAGAAGAAGGGAGTGATTCGAAGGTCGAAAAAGTAGAAGCGATGTGCGATCTCCGACCTCGCTTGGTTATTGCGACTGTTTGCGTTAATGGTTGCAGCCTTACTGTTGTGTGCCCTTCTTTGCTTCGCCGCTACAAGGCTTCTTCGCCGGTAGCACCGCAGCGCATCATATAATCACCAGCGCACGGCAAACATGTCATGATAAAACCTGACGACATGTTCCCAGGCCCCTCAAATTGCATCTCCACCCTCTGCACCTCCTGTTGTTCACCCTTATCATCAATGTTCCGTCATCTGCACCTCACTGTCCAGTTCCTCAGCATTCCCTCTCCACCTCCCCCGGTCCCTCCATCCTCTCCATCCCCTCCTCGCTCTCCCTCCCTCCCTCCCTTCTATCGTTCGTTCCGCCATCCTTCCTCTGTCCTCCCACTACTAATCCCACCGCCTCCCCCGTGACACAACTTCTCCTCCTCCTCCTCCTCCTCCTCTTCCAGATCCCTCATCTGCCCCCATTCCATGTCTGTTCCCCTGCTCCACCTCACCTGCCTATCTCAACAATCACCTATCCTCCGTCATATCCTATCCAACCACATACTCCTCATCCTCCTTTTCCCCCTCCTCGTCGTCCTTCTTTGTCCCCCTGCTCCCTCGTCCTCCTTCGTCCTCCCTCCTCTGCCCTCCTCCACTCCCATTCTCCACCTCCTCATCCTCCTCCTCGACCTCCTCCTCCTCCTCCTCTCCTCTCCTCTCCTCTCCTCTCCTCTCCCCTCCTTTCCCTTCCTCTGGTCTCCACTCCTCTCCTCCCTTGTCCTCTTCTCCCCTCCCCTCCCCTCTCCTCTCCTCTCCTCTCCTCTCCTCTCCTCTCCTCTCCTCTCCTCCTCCTTTTCCTCCCCTTCATTATCATCGTGGTCCTGCTTCTCCTCCTCCTCCTCCTCCTCTTTTTGCCTAGGACATCCTGCCTCTTCAACACTCGCAGAGCGAAGGAGGCGCGGCACCACATTTGGGGGCCTCGGTAACTGGCGGCCAGCCAGACACATATGATCCAACCGACACACCGAAACAAAAAGGTGCAGGAGGAGGACAGGGAGGAGGAGGAGGACAGACAGACGAGGCGTGCGGGGACCAGGTCTAGCCTGGGCGCAAAAACAAAAACAGACATGCGGGGAGCAACGGTGCGAGGGTCACTAACGGCGCAACGCCGGGCAGTCCCCACTCGCACCGCGCCCCCCGCAAATCAGACATGCGGGAACTTACCTCCGCTCTGCCAAGCGCACACCACACCGCGACGCACCGCACGATAGATCTGCCACAACAGGACAGCAAATAGGCACACGAGTGCGTGGGAACAAACAAGCCGAAGTCAATGGTGCGGGTGCTCGTCTTTGAACAGGGAACCCCAGCCCTCCGCGAGCCTGGCCCCAGGGGCCCAGAACGGGGAAATCCGCCCCAGAGGACCCCTGGGCCACGGAAGACGACCGTTTCTGAGCATTTGCACCTGCTTCTTCTTAACATTAAAGCAGCCACCCACTAGGTCTTTGGGGTGGCGGCCAGTGGTGTAGCTACCACATCTGTTGCAGAAAAGAATGCCCTGCCCTGTGGCCAGCACCCTGGCCACCCTGAAGGAGTGGGGGGGGGAAGGAGGGGCAAGAGGGCAAAGGAGGGAACGGAGGGAGGGGGCAAGGGGGCCGCAGGCCGAACACTCGGCCGCTTTCACAGACCTGAAGGTCCGAGCACAGACGAAACACTGCCAAGCATTGCCCATCCATCTGATTTTATGGGCAAGGAACACATGCTGGAGCTTCTCAGGCCTGGCACGAGGGGCCTTGCCTAGCTCACCAAACAGTTCACGAGCTGAGGGCCACTCTGCCAAGACAGCCCCAGCGAAATCGGCAACTTGGTTCCATTTCTTAAAAAGCGCGGTGATGGTGGCCACATCTTGGGGGGACCTGTAAAACCCCGCAGCTTCCTTGGCGTACACATCGGCCCAATTGTTGCCGCGTGTTTTCCACCTGGGTTGGGCCTCCGAGTCTTCCTCTAAATGGGCTTTCACTTTGTGGATAGTCCAGGCCCTGGGGGCCACCCGCTTGATCCGCCTCCAGTGGCCGCTCTGTACCGTGGTACCCCTCGAGGCCTTCGACAAGTCCTTGGAGCCCCAGATAAGAGCAGAGCAATCCACGAACGCGTTCAACTCGGCCTCTTCCTCAGGGGGGGGGTCCTGGTCCTGGTGCTCGATCGTGTGCATAAACCCATGGTGCTCGGCCAGCACTGCAGTTTGGGGAAGCCCCCGAGGGATGGAGCCCATCAGGCCCCTGATCAGGTTCCCGTCCCCGTCCACCTCGACAGCTGCCCAGCCCCCACGGGCTCCCACATCAGTTTTTGGGTCCCAGACCGAACCGTCCGAGAAAACCTTGGCGTTGTGCGGGAGTGTGAACGGGTCGATCGGCCCATTCGCGTCGAAATATCTGATAAAATCCTCAACTGGGGGCTCCAGCTCGAGCTCGGGCACAGGGACCCACAGCGAGCTGTACAGCGGGTCCTGCTCGCCCGCCGAGATGGCCTCCTCGAGAAGGTCCTGATCCAGCGCAATCCTAACAGAGGCCCCCTGAGGGCAAATCCAGATCCTGTGCCACACGGAATCAATTGCCTCACAGAACTTACAAAAAGGGGTAACTTCATACCCCCACCGATTGAGCGAAGCCGCAGTGGTGTACGCACGACAGAAAACCTTCCGAAGGATCTTTTTCTGGGCAAAACTACACGCTTTGCTTCGCATCCTCGAACGGATGGGTTGGGTCCAAAGGCCTCGCTCCTGAATTTCAAGCACCCTTGGATGATCCCAATCCTGAACTAACATGTTGACGCTCTCAGCCAAATACTTCCGCTTGATATCCTGAACGAAAAACTTGCGCACAAGCTCTGGCGGCGAGTCCGTCAAGCCGACAGGGATCCCGCTCGCTGAGGTGAAGCTGGCCTGGTTATTGAAAATCCACCCGGCCTCGACGCCCCACAGCAGAGCGTCCAAAATCGGGTGCGTGCCTCTTCTGCGCCATCCTAAAGACGGTGGTGTCGCGATCAACTTCTCTAGACACGCATGAAAAGCTTTGGTGAGGGTGCCAGCACTTAAGCCATCAGACGCCCGTAGCTGCGGGTCTGTGGCCTCCCACCATTCACGAGCATATCTTACAATAGTGTCACCAGCATGGCTGATCGGGTCCTTCGAGCTCTCCGTGGCCCAGATGAGGTCGATGGGGGCCCCTGGGCACCAGATGCCAAGCGCCTTAGCCCCCAAGACTCTGAGCTTGTGAACTTCACGAGGACCCAACCCAACCACATCGCTGCCATATGTCATGCTCGGCTTTTGCCCCACGAAGAACAACTTGGCCTTGGATCCAGCTTTCCCTCTGAGGTTCCTGATCTTGGGCATCCTCCTGAGAGCCTTGGACCACCTACACCGCCTTTTAGCCAAGTTGGGGACCTTCTTGGAGCACACACGGGGACCCTTGACGGAGTTGACCTTGTTGGGCAACCTCGAGCCCTTGGAGCCTATGGAGAAGTCCACCCCTAGGTTCACCACCTCCCCCGTGATCGTGTGCGCGTACTGGCCAAAACACTCCAGAGCCCCCTCCAT